AAAGATTAATGTGGCATTGTGTAATTATGTTATGGTGTGTGTATGTGTTGAGAGTGTGTACGTGTGTGTGTGTGTGTGTGTGTGTGTGTGTGTGTGTGTGTGTGTGTGTGTGTGTGTGTGAATGAGTGCGTGTGCTGACTTATGTGATTTGCGGGATTGAAAGAGGAGAAAGAATAAATTAAAAACCAACAATAACCCATATCAACTCCCCTCTATTGTAGAATAATTATTTGAAATCAAAGAGCTCTCTTCTCCATACCCGATCGAAAACCCCATAAGTACAGTGAAAGCTATTTAATAAATCAACAGTCAAAATTACTTCTGTGTGAGAAAAGAACTAATTCGCACTTTACCTGCAGAAACTTCTTTACCGTCACGACATCGTTCTCTTTTAGGGCCTTTTCCAACTGCTCGCACTCAGTACTCAGGTCAAATATGGACGACGTGGCGCTGCTAGTTCGCCTGTAAAAACAACACAAACAATAAATAATGATATTCATAGCGTATTGTTAGGTTCATCTTTGGTGGCGTTGGTATATGGGGTTGACAGTGCTAGAAAGAGGAATGTAAAGAAAATGTCGTTTAGATAAATCATGAAATAATATATTATTAAATGAAGCCATACATGCGAAAGGATTTGTAAAAGAGGCTGAGATATTAGACATTAGGTGGGATGAACACTGAATATAATGCTCTTAACTATAGAGGGACTTATATCTAAATTCTTCTTCTTATATCTAGATTGTTGTTAGTTTTCGTGCTGCGGCAGCTATTAAACAGAGTAAAGTGTTAAAAGTTAGTCTATTCCATCTGGCTATGTCGTTCGGTTAAATCTCCCTGAATGTCACAGTTTCTGAGTTGAAATTTGTATAGGGCTAGTCCAAAATCTAGATGATTTATCATGCGATATTTCATTTTTTTTTACTTTGTTCTACTATTGAACAGACTGGCAGGCCTGTCTTAACCATCTACTCTCCTTCCTCACTGGAAACACTGAGTCTGAAAAGTTGTTTTTTTCGGGGGGAGGGGGGGGTGTACTCTGTTGTTTTTGTTCGTACTCTATTGAAATTACATTATGTGTTTGAATCGAATACCATAATTGTAGAATAAAACATATATTTTTGTTCAAGAAAAGTTGGGGCATAAACATTTTTTTTAAAGTATCGTGAAGACGTATTTACTTGAACACGACTTACATTGCTTTTCCAAGACAATCTAGTCGGATTGTTGCAGAAGGTTTATCTATGTCTAGATCCCGCCGGTGGTCTCGGGATCAGGCCGCAAGGTTTGTAACCGAAAGATCATCTGTAACTGAAAGATCATGGGTTGCAACCCCGTCAGGCGACCAATGATTTGTCCTTGGGAATGACACTTCGCACAAAGGTCCCTCATCTTACCCAAGTGGGAATGAGTATCGGTCTATGGATACCGAAAGATGTTGTCAGTTTATTAGTGTTCAAGTGCTTCATCAACTACTTAAATTGCATGTTTTCTAGAAAGCCGAGAATGTTTCTGGGGATTCTATAGTCTGCTGGGGTAATAATAGTTTAACCCTATCCGTACGCCCTGGGGTCTTTTGTACCCCAATGTTGTATTCTCCACATTTTGGAATACTTCTACTACGAAGATCTCTTTAAAACTTATAGTATTTCTCATATAATCATTTTAACAGACTGCTAAGCAAAGCGTACGGATCGGATTAACCTGTAAGTTTCCTCTTTGGAAAGTGGTGGGCACAGGTCGTAGAGGGGTGGAGGTTTTACACAGCGGCATTACAAGCCCCCCCCCCCAACCACATAAGTGGGTACATAATATTATGTGAAGTGACCGTTTGTATAGGAGACTGATTTTTACGGGCGGCCGTTTTAGCGGGTTCAACAGTACTTTTGATTTTAACCCTCAAAACCCCGCGTTTAAGTGGGTCAATATTCGTAGACAATGTTTAAAATACACTGGAGACGAAGCACTCTTCTCCTCTTAGAGACAATTATATATTCTGTTAATCAAACCAACAGACAAGGCAATTAGTCTGATTTAGAATTACATTATGCAGAAATGGAGACGAGTAACTGTTTTAGACAGCGTGCAGAATATCGATCTTGCACGAGCCCATGCAAAACAGTGATTTCTCTAGATTTCATCAGAAGAGGACC